AGGTCACTGTTTAATGAGTGACAAAGTGTGTTTGTTTGGTGACGAGCTTTGCTAATGTTATAAAGAATGAGTTGATTTGAGAATGTATAAGGAGTTTTGCTAGTTTTGGTGCCTTTAAATGTGGACTTTACTGCTGTGCCAAGCTGAAATATGGTTAGGAGAACTGTGTGAAGAGTTTAGAATGGTTCGTGGTGATTGTAAAAAAAAAAAAACTGTAATACACAACACAAGAAATGTAGTTTTCCTAATTCTTTACACGTTTATCACATTTGTTTTAACTATAAAAGGGAACATATCAGAGAGCAAGACATTTTATGGTTTAGAATTTATAGTCCATCTGCTAACTTCTGCTCTTTAAATGCCCAAACATTTTTTCAGAATTAAAGTTTTAGAACATGCAGGTAAATGAACAAGAGCATTGCTGACATGCTGGTCCAGACCAACACAACCAGACAAAATATTAAACATGAATTCAACATTCACATGTTTATTAATAGAGAAGAGACCTGTAGGTTTGATAATAGCATTTACTTTTAATAAATCATTACCAGGAAAAAAAATGCTATGCTTTGTTTTGCAGTAAAGTTGAGCTGTTTGGCTAAGGTAAGAGTGTGTTCACATGGCTGTGTTCATTGTGTTGAGAGCTATTACAATACTTTGGAGAAATGTGTCAAAGCGACTGAGGAAAATTGTAAAACAGGAGTCAGGAATCCAGTGAGCGGTTTGTCCACTAGAGAGCAGTGCTGAACAGCAGCACATCTCTCCGGGTTATAATAGTTAATAAAACTAAATCCATGTAAGTATGTAAGTAAATACCTATTTTATTTCATTGAGTTGCCATGACAATTTCTCATTTCCATTTTAGTGTAATGTACTAAAATAACTTGAACTAAAAAAGTGAATAAAAATTACATATACATTAAAAGAATAATAAAAATGAGAAAAGCACAACAAAATCACATTTAAAAAAAAAATGATAATGAAAATGTAAAATGCAAAGATAAAAACAAATTAAAAAATATTAATAACTAACAGTATCTTAATGATTCTAAAATAACACTGGATCTCTCTCACACTGTTGGGTTATGCATGTGGGTGAACTTGTGAGGAACTAGTTCATGCCCAAAAGAATTAAATAATAATTTGCATAAAAATAAAGTATGTAAGAAGAAGTGTTATTTAAGTATTATTTGCATACTAATGAAGTATTTATGAATATTTCATTAACTTTCATTTTAGTATTTTCAGTTTCATTAACATTTTAATTTAAATGTAATTTAATTAATTTTCTTATGTGCTTTTGTCATATATATATATATATATATATATATATATATGATTTTAGAAGAGCTACAGGTTGTTGTTAGGATTGATGTCGAGCTGTTCTAAAATCACTGCAAACCACGGTTTCACGGGGTGCATCGGTTTAATAGAACGATTACTACATATAGCTGGGAAGATTTCATAAAAAACACACAGCAGCAAAAATCTATTTAAATTATATTAAATTAAATTATTTAAATTAAATGATAATTATTTATCTAAACCACATTACAAACTTTGATTTGAAGCAAAAAAGTATTTCAAAATCAGACAATGGAGAAATAAAAACTATTAAAGTTGCTGATTATATCTATAGTAACAATATTTTTATCTTTAAGTTTATTTATATACACATATTTTAGTATTTTGACAGCATATTAAGGCAGACTCTTTTGCTACAATTTGCGCTCCATGACTACCTGGTTTGTGGAATTTTCTGCACAGCATCATGGGTAATGTAGTTTTTCCACCACAAATTCAACTAACAACCTCAGAGCTCACAGTTGGTCTGTCTGTAACGGTTTATCAGTTATTGTTAAAATTAAATTCCTGTTATGGAGAAAATTTTGGCGAAAAATCATAAAAAGTTATTATTATGAGATAAAAAGTTGAAATTATGACTTTAAAAGTCAAAATTATGACTTCAGAAGTTTAAATCATGACATACTAAGTCATAATTGTAAGATTAAAATATACAAAATGATGATTAGTATTTTTTTGCCTTTTTAACTCAAAATTTCGATTTAAGTATTTGTCATAATTGTTAATTTTTGTTGCAATTTCAACATATGTCATAATTTTGACTTTTCATCCTATAATAATGACTTTTAAAGGGGTCATATGATGTTGCTAAATAGAACATTATTTTTTAACTTTTATAAAGAATATTTATTTGAGTTTGAGACTTTAGTCTTTGCAACTTTAGGGATCTTATCTATTCACGAACAGCTTGTAACACTCCAAAGAGAAAGGAAAACTTGAAATCACATCGTATGACCCCTTTAAAGTCAAAATTAAGACATACTAAGTCATTATGAGATGAAAAGCCGACTTTAAAAAGTTGTAATTGTGACATACAGTACCGAGTCAAAATGACATTAAAAAATCTTAATTATGAGATAAAAAGTCACAGTTATGACATACTACCTTATAATTATGTAATTTAAAAATTTTAAATGACATAAATATAGTTTTTTTTTTGGGCCTTTTTTAATCTCAAAAATTTGATTTAGCATGTAATAATTTTGACTTTTTGTGCTATAATTACCGTATTGACCCGAATATAAGACGCGGTCGTCTTATATTCAGGGTCTAGACTTTGACATGTCAATAATACACCCACAACAATAGGTGGCGCCAAATACGCATAAAACGAATGTGCCATGAAATACGTAATGTGATGCGAGTTGTAAAGATCGCGAGTAAAAACAAAAGAAAAAGAAAACCTTACAGCTGCATGAGTCGTGACTGTCACGTTCATAGACATAAATACCTAGACGCCTCATTGGCCGCTTTGAGCCGTTGCTGCGATACTTCAACGCGTCCGCCATGTTTGTGAGGGCAAGACTGCCTTAAAAATAAGTGACGTGACATGTGGCCAAGTATGGTGACCCATACTCAGAATTAGTGCTCTGCATTTACCCATCCAAAGTGGGCGACGTTGACGTGCGGTCGAGCGGCCAATGAGGCGTCTAGGTATTTATTATGTCTATGGTCACGTTAGCCTGATGGGACCAAACTCCCTTTGTGATTTTGAAACGTAAGACAGTACCCAGATTTGAAGACTACAGTAAGATTTAACTCCTACTGTTAATAAGATTTTGGTAGGCTACTATCCGATGGATAGCCTAAATGTA